CAGTTACAGCAGAGTAAAGGACAGTTATATTATTCAACTGTTTGTTTCTAGGGAAGCATCTGTATTTCCCAACTAGTTGGCAGCGGTTGTGGTTGGTTGCAAATGCTGACTAACTACTAGCTGACCACTAGCAAAAGTTGAAAACCTGAAACGGAGAAGTGTCACCTTCAATGTAAGAGCTGCATGCAGAAACATGTTGGCTGCTGCACAGCTTTGCAGGTGAACCTTCTGTTTCTGGTTTGTTTTGTGTTTTTCAGTTTCACTGCAGCTCAGAGAGAAGCTGCACAGTGTTTGTAGACAAGTGCGTCACATTTAGACTACCACAGCAATATGCTCGCAACCAAAGCAGGTTTGCACAATCAGTTGGGGAATACACATTTTCCCTAGTGACAGGTGGTTGTCAGGGGTTACCGACCAGACTGTAGTCCTTTGGCAGTCGTTTTCCCTTCACCTGGTTTCAGCCTGCAGCGACCACTTGTTACTACTCAGGGAATAAGGATTTTTCCCTTATGAGCAGTAGTTCCCAGATGGCAATGGGAATTTTATTTATGTAACACATGTCTTCAAAGGAAGTTAACACAGCAAAATAAAACGTATTTACTTAATAAAACACCACACAAACACTGATGATTGTAGGTGTGTGTGAACAACAAAGGTTTTGAGTCTGTCGTTGAATGTTAGCACAAATGGAACTGATTTCAGGTCAGCAGGCAGCTTTTTCCAAAGAACAGGAGCGCAGTAAGTAAAAGGAGCCTCAGCATGCGGATCGTAGGAGCATTTAAAAGACGTGAACCTGCTGACCTATAAACAGTGAGCAAGTCAGAGATGTACTGATAACAGCTTTATTTAATGACCCTACACAATAAGTCCAAAACAGCAAATCAGCCTGACGTGGTTAGTCACATGGGTAGTGGTCACATGTCTGCCAAACCTCAACAGAAAGAGCAAGACTGTATGTTGGCACATGAAAGCTTGTAATTGTACACACACACATATAGATAGATACATATTCACTCATACATGTACAGTAAAGAAATCTTTTGTTTATTCTCCCTGTTGATGGTGTAACACGCCGCACTGATGATATTTATCCCCACAGCTGACCTGAAGTCACTTGTGGGTTGAGGCCTTTGGGTCAAATACAGTCAGTGTGTGTCTGCGACTGTGTATCAGACACACACAGGAGCCACATATTTCATGTATGTCAACTTGTGTCAACATCTGAAGCTAGCAGACCTTCAAATGTTGCACACACACACTCACGCGTGCACACTCAGCCTCACTGCAGTCTTATCCTGCACCGAACACACACTTACCAGTTTAAAAGCACACGCAGAGATTGGGGGAAACTCACTCGGTGTTGGACACTGGGGAGTCAGAGGAAGAGATATTCACCATTACTGGTTTATTAATGAGATGGAGAGGAGATGGAGAGCGAGAAAACAGGCAGGAATGCGGGGAAAAGTCGAGGAGGGAGGACTCCGACAGATGAGACAAATCTGAGATGAAGAGCAGCTACCGAGGCAGCAAAGGAGGATGAGGAGGAGTGCATATGTATTATTAAATACCCAGAGTGTTAGATTATTTACAACAGCTGGAGAAGGAGGAGGGGGAGGTCGATACTGGCTCACCCACGCACTGGTAGGGACGCTCGCTCGCACTCTCACGACGAGCCGGCGGCACAATCTGAGGTGGTTTGTGTAATTGAATGTCAGAAGCTATTAGAAGGAGGAAGGGCGGGAGAGTGTGTGAGAGACATAAAGAGGACAAACCAGTCAGTTTTTATTAAAGTTGGCATGTGAGTTTCAGGCAGGACAAACAAATTAAGGAGCATGTGAACAAATACACGTTTAGTGTCTTACAAGTGTAGAAATCGATTTCAGGGTTGAGGCACCAAAGTGGGATTATCACGTACGCCGTCATCAAGATTAAGTTTGCATCACAGACTCACAGATTCACACTTTCTGCCAGTGTTTTTGTTTACCTCCATTGTCTCGCCTTAGTACTGTTGATTGTGTCGTTGAATATATTAGAACTGTGGGAGGCAGCGCGATAACAGCAGAGCGCTGACCTGGGAAAACACACTCCTCCCACATCTACATACTGTACGGACACACACTCCAGTATGCACACTTTGGGAAAATACACACCATACACAGATGCCATATACGCACATATGAATACACACAGACTCGCACAAAACCCTGGCCCAAAAATAACAAGCGTGTCCCACATTGAGAGTTCACTGCAAATGGAGAAAAGCCAAGCAGCTTCCTCTCACGTGTTTGACTCTGTCGGGAGCTCTGTCACACTTATTTTCCAACTTTTCTTTCTGTCTTTCTTCACCGCTCTCATGACAGCCTCTTTGGAAGAGTTGGGCCAAATGAGACTGTGCTGTTAAAGCATGTTGGATCCCATTTGGTCAATAATGTGATAATCTTTGAGAAGGAAGTTCAAATCTCCTAACTCCCTTTTTATATTTCATTTTAAGACTCTTATGGTTCGTTGGGCCAGTTGGCTCTTTTCTGGTTGGTTGTCTGGTTGATTAATCTGTCTTCTTGTTTGAATGACTGGGCAGTTGGTTGATTGGTCTGGTTGGTCTCTTTGGTTAGTTTGTTTTTTGGTTATTTGATTGGTTGTCTGGTTGATTATTCTTTCTTCTTGTTTGTTGGCTGGTCACTTGGTTGGTTTTGTTTGACTGATCATAATAATCATTCTGTGTGTTTGTGCGGTTGGTTGTTCTGGATTGTCAGTCTGTTTTTATGTTCAAGTAAACGACTGACACGTCCCATTTTCATGTTAAATATCCGCTATTCTTTTCCAAAGTTGCATAATCTGTTTACAGATTATCAGTACAGTCTACAGGTGTGCAAGAGGTGAACAGTTATATCAAAAAACACAGTTGAACAACAGATATTGGAGTCACGGTCCTGGGTTGGTGGCCCAGTGCTTTGATTTTTGTATTATTATTATTATGAATCGTTGCTTTCATCTTGCTTTATGACTGCTGGTGTTTTGGTTGCTGTTTTGTAATTGTAGCTCTCCAGTTCCTCTGGGTTTGTGATTTCTAGGTCTCAGTTTTAGGCTACGTCCACATGTACGCGGGTATTTTTGAAAACTGGAAAAGCCCGTCCAAACGTACAGTTTTGAACAAATATCTCATTCCACATGTAAACGCTAAAAACGAAATGTTGGCCAATCAGAAGTCTAGAAGCCTGGGAAAGAGTACACAGGGTTTTGTACACTCACAAAAACTTTACGTTTTTGTTTTTCTGGAAAGGCAGATAATTTTGTGTTACTTTTCAAGTGCCTTCATCATTTCAGATGTTATTAACTAAAGGCATTATTTTGGTTGGTGTAGACCAGGGGTCCCCAACCTTTTTTGCGCCACGGACCGGTTTATGCCCGACAATATTTTCACGGACCGGCCTGTAAGGTGTCGCGGATAAATACAACAAAATAAAACTAGTACCGGTACAGAAAAAAAGAAGATTAATTCATAACACACGTGAAAAGACCCAGGAAAACCGAGTTAACAATCAAAACGATAACAAAATAACGCTGAAAACCAATAAAAACCCTGAAAACCATACATATCACGCCTCAACTCTTGCGGCCCGGTACCAAACGACTCACGGACCGGTCCGAGGCCCGGGGGTTGGGGACCGCTGGTGTAGACTCACAACTTAGGAATGAACAAAATGCATACAAAATACATACATTTAATTTAAGAAAGTAAATTTATTCAAGACCGACGTCAGCATTTAATGTAGAAGCCACGTCCGAAGTTCACTCTGATGCCTCTGTCTTTCTAAATAGAAGGACAGTAACTGCGCATGTGTATGTAAGCGTGGAAAAACTGCAGATTGACAGTATCTTATCTGTATCTGCCACTGCAGTAATTTATCTCATGTAAACAATAACGTGGCGGACAGCGTGACGTCAAGAACGGCGCACACCTGTGATGTTGCGAGACTAAATCTCAGTTTTCCTCGACCACACTTAAATGCAAAAATGGAGTCTTTGAAAACACCTGTGTACGTGTGGACGTAGTTCTAGTTCTGCCCTCGTGTTTATTCTCTTGTTCCCCAGTCAGTCGTCTCTCATGTCTTTTTGGCACTAATTTATTCTTAAGAGGCTTTAAGGTTGTTCATACTGTGTGATAACTTAGTTCTTCATTAAGTCCTATATCACAACTATGTGCAATAGTGAAGCAAAAACAGAACTTTTCATATGATGATATAGCGTTACTTTCTGTTATTGTTACTTTCTGTTATTGTTACTTTCTGTTACTGTTACTTTCTTTTACTAACTGTAATAGACTTACACATTTTTTAAATTACATTGACTCCCATATATCTGGGTTTTTCCCATTTCACTCGGCACAAAGACATCTGGCTTTCTTCATCATACAGGACAGGATCTGCAGTATATGTAGCTCTTCTTCGTGACGTGCCCTGACTTCCTGTCTGTTCTCTCCTCTTTCATATTCAGCTCGTCTCTCCTTCTGTCACTCCGTCTTTCTCTCGTGGCTTCTCTGACCACGGTTGCTGCTCGTTAGCACCATTTAAAAACTTCTTTCTGGCTCATTGGGCTCTTGGCTCATTCCAGCAGCACTGACATTAAGCAGCGTGATGAGTGACTGTGCCCCGCGGCAGACATGACACCTCCGTTTCCATCAGCAATCACAGCTGAACATCAACCCATTTTTTTCCCTTAGCTTTCCTTCTTTCTTCCTTGTCTGCCAGGACGTGGCTGTGATGTTAGCTATGTTTCCCAAAGGGGGATTTAAATAAAGAGCAACAGCATATTGGCTGATGTTAGAAGATATTCTGCAGACTACAGGTGAGCTGTTAGCTGGCGGCTTTGGAGATGTAAACTCATTTCGAGGATGTCATGTATTTAAACATTAGTAGAAATCGAATCAGTGTTTCGAGTGAAAATCGCATAACAATTTACCTCTCTCTCTCTCTCTCTCCTTGTCTCAATGTCTTCTTCAGGTATAGACCAGCATGCCGTTGGTGAAGAGGAACATTGAGCCCCGGCACTTGTGCCGTGGAGCGCTGCCAGATGGGGTGACTAGTGAGTTGGAGTGCGTCACCAACACTACACTGGCAGCCATCATCAAGCAGCTGGGCAGTCTAAGTAAGTATACTGTAGTTCAGCACAAGAACATCCTGTAACATTCACGTAGTTTTCATTCCGACATTTTAGCATTAACATGCTAGCATGAGTCTTTAGCATGATCTGATATGATGCACGGTTTGGGGCTCTTTTTTTTGGAGGGGGGAGAAGCTTTTTATTAAAAAAACTATTTTGTAACATTATTTCCTCTTTTAAAGAAAAATGCACTGCTGACACAAGCCAGGCAGTTTTTGGGGGTTGGTCAGTAAACCCTGTTCTGTAGCCTTGGTTTATCCAGCATTCACTGAATCAGCCCTACTGAAGATAGTCAATACTCAAAGTTGCAGTCAGTCATTTTGTTGAGGTTATTTAACAGAAAAAAATGTTGCACGTAAACGCATTGTGTGTAAGTGGCTAGAGAACGGCTACAGATGTAGTATGTAGTACAGATGTAGGCGGAGGAGAAGAGAACTGTACTGTGGAGGCATCATGTTTTATTATATGAAGGGGTCCGCTTAAACAAAGAAGCAGAAGAAAACATAAAGGAAATATACATCACCGTTGGAATCTGGATAAAACTTCTTCTTGCTCCTCACTCCAAGCCTTAGCTCTTGAATTGAAGTCATAGCTGTAACACAAAAAATATGCATAAACATGCTTATTTATTCCCAATATTGAAGCAATTACTTATTGTTAGCAGGTTAGACATATCATCCTTCCACTCTCCAAACAGCTGACAACAACAACGCTAAACAACAGCAGCTACCAGCTAATGCTATGCTAAGTTTGAGCATCCTAAAAATCATACTTTTCCTCTGATAAACAGTTTGATTACATTTTCATTTCATAAGTGTCAAAGTTTAGCAAAATTAGATCCACTTCAAAGAAAGTTTAGCTGCTGGCTAACCAGCTAACAGCGGCTAACAGCGGCTAACAGCGGCTAACAGCGGCTAACAGCGGCTAACAGCAGCAAAAATAGAAGCTGTGACCAACAGAGAAGTTCAGTATATCCTCAGCAACTCACCACACTGACTCATCAGCTCATTTCACAAAGTTTTGCACATATCGACAGCTGAGCTAAACAGTGAACTGGAAGCCTACACTCACTATAGATGAACGGCAACCGCAGTTGTTTGTACAGAAGCCACCAAAGCTACGATTATTCACTTACTTACTGACATCTAGTGGTGAGACGTTACACATTATAATTTTAAAAATTGTCTTTCACAGGCCCGTGAAAAATGAAGCGCACCCCACGATTTAGGACCTCTTAGAACCACCTTTAACAAAAAGTTCACGAGTTTTTTTCGTGACTGTAGTGAAGAGGACCTATGTTGTTTACCCTCCATCGCAGTCACATGTCTGTCTCTTTTTTTTTTCTTTTTTTTGTGTCCCATTTGGATCTTTAGCCATCAGAATTGTTGTCTTAAGGCCAAGAAAGATGCCAAGCGGATTTATTTTACCAAGTGGATCATCATGGCCTTGCCATATTGGTCCATTTGATTGACCTTTATTATAATTATGAATTTATTTTATTTTCAGTTGCTACAAACGGGACAGACAAGTCACATGTCTGTCTCTAACAATCGTGAGCAATCAGAGCCCAGCATGTCTAGGCATTTACATGCAATCACACCTAAAATGAATTCAGAGCCATGCTCCTTAATGCAGACCACTTGAGATGTGTTGAGTGTGAATAAGGCCGTGCGTGCATATGCTGATTAGTTTGTGCGTCAGCAGTTGTTTGCTGATGAGCACAGTTGCCATAGTGATTGATGGATTGATGTGGAAGTGAGGTGAATCCAAGGTGATTTTTGTATTTTTTATCAGGTCTAATAACGTGCAGGTGAGCATGTTTTCAGAATTCCTTCTGAAGCATCGTATCCTGCAGTTTAGCGTCCTCTCCTCTGTATTCTCTTTATTGGAATTTCTCACCCTGAACAGCTAAACACATTCTTCATTTGAAAGCAATGAAGTCATTCATAGCTGATGTGCTCTGTAGCAGACGAGGCATACTTCAATGGAAATGAATTGAGTGTGAGGGGGAAAAAGGGTATTTAAATTCGATTAACAGTTAGAGGATAGATTATATTCAGCGACAGCTCACTGCAAATGAGCGAGCGCTCTGCCTCTGCTCCATCTGTGATGACGTGGGCCGAGAGATGGAGACGCAGGACGAGAGAAGAGAGCGAACGAGGTGGCGAGACGCTGAAATGAGTGTGCATGTGATTCAATTTGAAGGTGACAGTGTTATTGAGGAAGGCTGCAGTTCTGCATCTCGGTAAATGCATTTAAATATTTGTGCCACTGTCGTCACAGACGCGCAAACGCTCTCAGACAGAGAGGCCCTGTTTAAATATTCAGTCCGACAGGTGCACAGCAGGAGGCGGCTGGTCCTGCTGAGGCAGACGCCGGGAGGAGGGAGGGGAGCAACCTCCATCTCTGAATTTCTCTTCTCGTACATTTCATGAACGCCTTCTTCACAGCCACCCTTCAACTTAAACAATTCTGACGAGGCTTCAGAGAACAGTAGATGGATCAGGTGAAGGTCCAGATGTGTCTCTCAGGCCCGTGTCAAGCTTCTGCTGGATTTTTTTCTCCATCTTAAGGACATGACATTCAGATACTGTCCATGTCCTTCTTTTGTCCAGTTTCCATGAAAACACCCTGCACAGCAAGCTGAGGTTTGCCAAGTTTTCACCTATAAAGCTCTTTGGGAACCACCTTGTCTTGTCTTTCACATTTTTCATAGATTCAGCTAAAGAAATGGGAACAAATGAGGTTTTTGGGACAGGCTGCGAGTAACAAAGTGCCCAGAGATACAATTTAAAATGATCCTTTTGCTAAGTTGTCTGGTATGTGTAGACACAACACTGGTTGAGTTGTGTTGAGTTAGGTGCCTTTTTGCACTTGAATGATTCATAAGCCAGTGATAAGTGGCTTAACAAACAAACAGGACTGAATGGAGACTAGGATCATCTCATGATTTATTTATTTTTTGCAGTTCACCTTTACACAGGAAAGGACAGACAGCTGGCTACAGCTAGCATGCTATAATAGAGCCTCATTTGGACAACACACTGCTCTCTGAACACTTCCTCCAAGTAGAAATCCAATCAACTCATACATACAGAGCTACCTTACAGTGTTAAGGCAGAGAAATGAATCGGTTAGAATAAAGCAAAGTGGAGAATATCTGATCACAGGTGAGTCCGTGCACACTGTAAACTGTATGTACAGTTGTCCCTCATTTACATTCTAAAAATAATATGTGAAATCTGCAAAATAGCCAACTTAATTTTTTTACAATCATTATAGATGTTTTAAGGCTATGAAACCCCTCACTACACACTAGAGATGGACCGATCCGATATTACGTATCGGTATCGGTCCGATACTGACCTAAATTACTGGATCGGATATCGGAGAGAAATAAAAAATGTAATCGATCCATTAAATATCAAAAAAGCACCTCACAAAACTTGCGACATTGCATAACTCGGCTTATAACCGTAGCACGTTGGAGCAGTGTGGTCACGTGATAGAGCGGCTGTGGCGTGCGATACCTGTCAGCGGTCTGGTTGAGTATTTGTAGCTTCGCTACCAAACCAGCATTTCATCTCAGAGAAAGTGATCCCAGAGAGAACTAAAGCAAGTGTGTAAGTTCATCTCTGAATGTTTGTAAAGCATTCCCGCGTTAAGCTTAACAAACGATATATGGAGCGACTGCCTCTTCTTGCTGCTACTTCAATCATGAAACTGTTTAATGATCGGCTGATCGGCTTTTCTGTCGCGAGTCCGTCTCTCTTCTTTGTTTTTGGCCCACTTTGCACCAGAAAGAGGAAACCAGCGGCTGAACAACAGCAGCACGTTTAAGCTTGATAAGCTGTTGTTAGAATTTATTTAATATTACTTTCTACACCAGGATCTTTTTTTACGTAGCTGACGGCTGGTAACTGTGCAGGGGCGGATCTAGCAAAGTTTAGCCAGGGGGGCCGATAGGGCATTAACAGGGAAAAGGGGGCACAAAGACATACTTTTCTTTATTATTCTCATTTAAAATGTCTAGCTTTTAATAAATAATTATCTGAATGTTACACCCAAAGTTTTAATCTGATGTAAAATGTACAGAAGTCCATTACTGTATATAGTAACTATTAAGTCTAATATACCCTAGTAAGCTATAGTACTTTTTCCTTTGGGAAGGTACCATCTGTGCAGTCTGCAGTTCTGTTGAAGAAAGATGTTGAATCTATTTAATTATTGTAGAAAAATCATTTATTTCTGTGCATTTTTTTCACACTGCATCAAATTAAAGTTGATTATGTCGATTAAGCATCATGAGGTGGCGCGTGAGGGGTGGTTCCCTATTTTTTTTCTTGCTATTTTTTACATACAGGTATAACAGAATAGCTTTAGTGTTTGTTTGTTTTTTACTTGAGTATGAACTTATACAAAATGCATTAAGATATTAAAAAACAGTTTTATTGATTAAAAAACACTATATCGGATTCATATCGGTATCGGCAGATATCCAAATTTATGATATCTGTATCGGACATAAAAAAGTGGTATGGTGCCATCTCTAGTACACACTTTATACACTTTTCTCAGACAGGCATGAACATTTTCACACTTTTCTCTCTTGTTTAAACAATCTCAAAGTTCACACCTCTGTAGAAAAATAAGGCACCCGTGGTTGCATCAACATTGTTGTGTTTGTTGGGGAGAAAACTTTCAAACATACAGTGCAGCACTTCAGAGTCACACTGCTAGCGATCGAAGATTTATGTAAAGTTGGCAGCTGAACACATTCTGTACTGTACAGGAGACACAGCACGAGATTGATTGACAGTGGTCTACAGCCAATCAGGATGCAGAACACAAAAAAGCAAAATTGCACCCCCAAAAAATCTGCGAAACAGCAAGGGCGCGAAATGTGAACCGCATTATAGCGAGGGACCGCTGTATACATGTAGACCTTCTGTTATCACACTTTCTTTTGTCCTTTTTGGACGGAAACCTGAAGTAACTCTGAACGTCTTTAATTGTGTCAGCTTGCTCTGCTTTTCCAGACAGTCTGATTCTCCCAGCTGATTTAATTCTCGCTGCATGTTTTATTCCTGCGGTGTGAGGCAGAGTTCAGCTGGCCAACATGGAAGTGTGAATGTAGCCTGTTAAATATCCCTGGATGAAAGATATTAAAGTGGCGAATCTGACTGTGTGTGTTTCTCTCTCTCTGTGCAGGTCGTCATGCTGAGGACATTTTCGGGGAACTGTTTAACGAAGCCAACAGCTTCTACCTGAGGATGAGCAGCCTGCAGGAGAGGGTGGACCAGCTGGCTGTGAAAGTCACCCAGCTCGACTCCACTGTGGAGGAAGGTGTGTGTGTGAGGATGTGTGTTTTTATTCTCTTTGTGTGTGTGTTTGCAGCACTATAGATTATTAATTGTGCTGTTAGAGAGCAGTGACTGTTTCTATGAGTGTACACGTGTTTATGTGAACTGCTATTAGGACTAGCGTGGGTGTGTGTGTGTGTTTGTGTATGCAGCATTTTAATGGCTGTGCTGATGATTTATTGATGAGGGGTCTCTAGGCTCTTATATTATGCCCTGTGTGGGTGTTTGAGTGTGCGTTTGAGGTCCTGTGAGTGAGTGAAGGTGTGGCTGAGTCTCACCTCAGAGTAGCCGTTAGGACTCGACTTTTGGAGCTCGAGTTAATCCTCGGCTCAGGGTTGGTCGGGATAAACCGAGGCATCTGTGAGTCCTCGCAAAGGTAGAAGGCCATCTGCTTGGTGCGTGTCAACAAGCTGTTTCACTTTCTTTGTGTCTGTCCGCCTCATGTTTGTGTTGGAGTAAACACTCTGAGATAAACGCATCTCTGCAAAGCTTTTAACCTGTGTGTGTGTGTGTGTGTGTGCGTGTGTGTATGTGTGTGTGTGTGTGTGTGTGTGTGCGTGTGTGTATGTGTGTGTGTGTGTGTGTGTGTCCGGCACTATGGATTATTAATTGTGTTGTTAGAGAGCACCGACTATTTCTATGAGTGTACAAGTGTTTATGTGAGCTGCTGTTATGACTAATATGTGTGTGTTTGCTGTTTGCACAGTGTGAGTCAGGATCTTTATCTCCATCATTAAGCTTCAGTCTGTCTCTGAAGGTCAATTCTCTCAATGCAGTAATTGATAGGCACACACACACACACACACACACACACACACACACACACACACACACACACACCTATATGTATGTTCTTTTTTTTAAATCTTTGATCTCTCTCAGACGTTTATTTATCCTCCTGTGCCTCTAACCTTTTTTGTCTCATCTTTTCTTCCTCCATCCTCTCATGTCGGCCTCTCTGTTCCTTTTGATTTGGCTCAATTTTCTCTCCTCTTATCCTTTTCCTGCCTTTCCTGTTCTCTCCTCCTCGTCACTCTCTGAGAAGCCCTCATCCCCCTTTCTTTTCTTCTGTTTTCCTTGTTTTCTTTCCCCACTGTGTCTCCCCGCTATCCTAGACTCCTGTTCTTCCCCTAATGCCCTCTCCTCCAATTTCCTGTTTCTTTGTTTCTCTTCCTCCTCCCCTCAGTCTTTCCCCACCTTACTCCTCCCTTTTCCTCTTTCTCCTCTTCCTCCCGTTTGTCTGGATATATATTTTTCGTCTGTAGCTCTGTGCGTCTCTCTCTGTCTGTGCTGATACTGCCGAGTCATTCTGCAGCACGCCGGCCTCAGACAGCGTCAGAGAGAGCAGCACAGACGAGGATAAAAAGGAAAAGCTCAGCAGTCTTCTGTCTTATCCTTCCCTCCCCTTATCTCGCCTCCTCCTCCTCCTGCTCGCCTCCTCACACTTTTCCACCCTCTCTCTCTCGTCTCTTTCTGTCTCTTTTTACCTCTTCCTCCTCCACACAAACCATTTCTCAGTCCTTTAATTCCTTCGTTTCCTTTTCCACACATTCACTCAAATTTGTTTTCTGTCTCATCATGTCCCACTACTCATTTTTCCACCTCCTTTCTGATTCCTCGCTTCCTCTTCTTCATTGCTTCTTTTGTGCACCACCCTTTTTTCTTCCGTACATGAAGAAAGGAAAGGAGGAGAGAAGAGATGGAAGGAGGAAGGAAAGAAGGATTGCAAGAAGGAAGTGAGGAAGAAATGAAAGCAAAGAGAAAGCAAAGAAAGATGATCTAAGGTCAAAAAGGAATGAAGGGAGGTAGGAAATAAGGAAGGATGGAAGAAAAGAGAAAAAAGGGGGAAGGAAGAAGAATGATGGATGGATGAAATGAAGGTGGAAGAGAGGAACAAAGAAAAAAGGGAGGGAGGAACAACAGTTAACAAGGAAAGAAGGAACAAGAGACAATATGATTGTTTTTCTATCGCACACATAAAGGATGGAAGGAAATAAGGAAGGAAGGTAGGGAAGGAAGACAGAAAGGCAGAGGGAGCAAGCAAGGACAGGTAATAATATGACTTTTTGTAGTGTACATCAAGAAAGGATGGAAGGGAGGTAGGAAGAAAGAGAAATGAAGGACAGGAAGTGGCGGAAGGAATATTATTTCTTTCTAGCGCACAGGAAGAAAGGAAGGAAAGAAGGGAGGGAGGAAGAAAGAAAAGAATATTAAAGCAGGAAGGATAAAAAAAGGAAGAAAGGAAAGCAGTAGTGAAACTGAACAGGTGGCTTATTTCAGACTGCAGAGGGATCAAGCATAAGATAAATAAGGATTATTTTGAACAGAGAGTCATGCAAAGCTGCTCTAACAGGGCTGGAGCTGAGACTAACAGGTTCTCTTTAAATTAAGATGCTCTGTCTGTGCAGTGAGGATGCACAGAGAGAGCGTGTACAGAGAGAGCGTGCACGGAGAGAGCGTGCACGGAGAGAGCGTGCACGGAGAGAGCGTGCATGGAGCCTACAGGAAGCAGCACGTCCCTCCAGACAGTAAAGTGATTATAAATTGTTCACATAAATCCAAATAACTCTAAATTCAGAGGTTAGGTCAGTGCAGAGTTCCTTAATCAGTGTGTGCATTACACGAATGTGGTTATTAATAATGGTGTTTAACACAGTTTATGCATGTGTATGTGCAGAGAGGGAGGTGAGTGTTAAAAAGGGCCGGAGAGGAGAAAGAGGAGAAGGAGAAGAAGAGCAGAGAGAGCGAGGTCTCTTTGAAGACGTGTCTGAATGAAAGTTGCATTAGCTGCGAGTTTTGTGGATTATTCATTTGGCCGTAGGGAAGGAAGCTTAGGGAGGAATGATCAAACAGACAGGAGTGTGCTCTGACTGCACACACACACAGATCAAACGGCCAGTCGCCCTTTGGTGTCTGCAGGCGGATTTTTAAGCTAACCATAGATTTTTCAGTAATAAAATGTGTCCATACAAACACAGACATGCTGCGTCAGTGCACAGAGCTAATGACAGGAGCGTGTGTGACACTGACGTGGTTTAAACTGATCGTATAGGACACTGATCACGCCCTGATCGTCTGTGTGTGTGTGTGTGTGTGTGTGTGTGTGTGTGTGTGTGTGTGTGTGTGTGTGTGTGTGTGTGTGTGTGTTTAGCCATCTGCTAGATCCTGGATAGCACTGCAGTGGTGATAAATCTCTCACAGGATTGACACACATACGTGTCACGTTCTGACACTTAACACACCGCCCAGCCTCCTGTTGTTATGCAGCCACAGTTTGCATGCGTGTGTGTGTGTGTGCGATGCTTGTTGAGCTGATGCAACAAGCTCCAAGTCTAATCTGACCCTGCTGTCCTATTATTTGTGCATGCGTATGTATGCGTTCGAGTTCAAACACCGTTTAAGCTGTATGTTCTGTATCAGTCGATATGCACACGATGTGCGTGTATTTGATCCGTTTATCCGTTTTACTTCTAAAATGATCGTCTATAGGTTGCAGAATCGTAGCAAACAAATACACACGTATCCAAACGGTGTCTGTTTAGAGAAGCATCTGCTGATAAGTATGTACTCCAGGAATTACTTGAAAATTGAAGTGTTCTAATTAGACGTCTTTGCCTCGTAGCATTTCATCTCCTGCCTCTCTCAGCAGTTTCCTACATTTACCACGCCGCTTTTCAACGACCGATAAACCCATAAATCTCAACAAGGTCAGAGCTGCGTGTGTAAAGTTACCATTGAGGGTCAATAGCTGCTCTGAGTGTGTTATGGCTCCTGTTTGAGCAGCATGTGCCGTTTTATTTGTCGACGGAAAGGTCGAAACGATGAGGTTAAAGTGAAGTGCAACAGTGTGTATACTGACGGGGTTTTGGCGGCACCCTGCTGGGCTGGTGGGCGGGTGGACACCCAAGTTTGTGATTGCGGTAACTTAAGAACGAGACGACTTGCTAACATTCTGGGACGAGTTCAAATCCTGGCGAGCTTGACCTCACAATCAGAGGTCAACTGCTAGGATTTTCACTTTTTTTTTTTTTTTCCTTTTTTTTCCTTCTCTCTTTTTCTTTTTTCTTTTTTTTTTCTTCTTTTTTTTTCTCTTTAATATTATATTATTTAGTTGTTGTAGTTTTTATTGAGTTTGCTACTAATGTGGGTTTGTGAGGGGGAGCATATTTCATTTTACTCGATGGGAGTCACTGAGACTGTTATGAGACGTCATCAGTGAGGTCTGTTTGGAAAACTCAAAGACAATCAAAAGACCAAAAAATGTCGCTTTGTGTTACAATGGTGCTATTGCACAACAACATGCCCTGTTACCCTTCAACTATTCAACTATCTTTCTGGCCTTTAATTAGTTTCTGTCATCATTGGACGTATTAGCATCAGCCAAGATATTAGATATTCATAAAGATATCCATGCTCCCTAGAGACACTGATTAGGATGAGAAAACACTCCCAGGTGAGGGTTCTTTAGCCCTCTTTAATATCTTAGATGGAGATGAAATCGATCCACAATCCCATTCGGAGTGCTGAGGTGAGGATCTTCCCACAGTGAGCTCACGATGTGTTATATAAAGCAGATTAATATCGCTGCCATATTTAGACCTCCAATAATTATTCCTCAACTTAATTTACAAGATTGTAAATGCTGCACTGAATGCATCTGAACACTAATAAAATAAAGTTTGCATGTCTGATGAAAGTTTATGTAGTTGATAAGGAAGAAAGACAGACTGTCTTAAGCCAAAACAATAAAACCAGTGTTTGTTTATTATTTAAAATTAAAAGAAATGTTTGTTTTTTATTCATTGCTGAAGTTTCTGTACTGCATTTCCTATTTTCTGCTGCACAATATTTCTTTATTTATAAATATTTATATAAAAACTGGGTTACTGATGTGAAAACCTGAGTAATAAC